GATGCTTCTTCACCTTCTACTCTGGATTCAAGATTCAATCAAACCCTCAGAAATGTTCAAGGGTATGCGTTTAATTTGTACCCCATAGATCCGACAATGATTGACTACCAATTCTTGCAAAACCCAGAATTTTGTTATCGAAGGAAATACCATTTCCCAGTTGGTCTAGTGTTTCTTCTATTTTGGTTCAGATTTGGATACCCATTTGCAAAATAATACTGAAAAACGAAATGGAATTTAATTTAAGAATTCTTATGAATTTTGATCTGGGAATTAATTCAATTGCTATGGTGTTTGTTAGCTGATAATTAGGCTTCTATTTTCAGTAGATTTCATTGTTTACATTGTATATGCATGTAAAGTTTTCTTTTTTCCATTTCTGGCGAATTACAGGATCATGGAACAATGATTTGTGCGTTCCAATAATGCAACTAAAATTGTGTACATTGCTTAATTTCGATGAATTCTTTTGGGTTCTGAACAGTTAATTATGTGATCTATTTATTTAATATCTTTTGATTTTTTTTATTCTTCAACTGAGATTCACTGAAATAAGTTATTTACTCTGTTCAGCTTAGTCCTACTTTCAATAGTTCGATAAAATTCTTATGCGCCCGTTTGGCCCCATTATTCCACATTATAACTAGAGGAATAACAATTTTTTTTAAGGACGTGTGGTTAAAAAATAAGGAAAGTTTTTGAATTTACGTGTAACATTATTTTATTGAAGAATGTGTGGTTGATAAGAAGAGAAAGAAAAATGAATTATAATTTAACGGGGAATTATAATAAATATTGCGAGCACTTTTTTTTTGCAGGCTACCCCCTTTTCGTCAGATATTGACTGTGATTGATACTGTTTACTTCCTTCAGAAGTTCAATAAAATTCTGGTGGAAATGCCTAAACTTTCAGTAACCAGGCTTTTGTATTGGTTTTGCTGTTTTCATTACAATTTTGTTACAAGTGATTTATTGTTTTATTTTCAATGGTTCAACACAAACATCACCAAATGTTCAGCAATATCCCAGATTGTAAAAGAAATACAATCCATTATTCTGCTTGTGTTCGTCTTTTCTTGAGCAGTAATATTCCTGATGCCATGATAAAATAATTCAGTTGAATAGAGTTTTTTTTTCTTCATCCAAATTCTGAATTTATTTTAAATATAAACTGTACAGGTTGCTCAAAGGTCGAAGTTTTCCTGGTAAGGTATTGATAACACGGAGGTCGGATCCTCTGGATCAATCAGCTCTGCAATCTCCAAGTAACAACAGAAGGTTCTCGAACAGTGATATTGAACATGGGGAACAGCTTGATATATCTGCTGAGGTAGTACTAGTGATAATTTTCTATTGTTATTTATTCATAACACACATATATGTTACATAGATATGACTATTAAATCTTAACAATGGATTTTACTTTTATTTATATTAGGATGTAAGCCAAACCAGAAGCAATGCGAATGCCAGTTCATCTGCTAACAAGACAAAACCATCAGCGGAAAGTACTGAAAATACGTCCAATGAGGTTCAGAAAACAGTAATGGGAGCTAGATCTACAGATTCTGCAAGGCTAATGAAATTCCAAAAAGAATTATCTGGGACCACTGTTGTCTTAGGTATTGAAATGTATTTATGAACAATCATTTTTCCTTTTGTATCTTTTCAGGTTTATGGAAGTTCCATAGTCTTTAGATGATAATTGTAGCTATTTGCTTGTAGTGATTCCGGTCTTAAGTTGGGACAGTGAAAAATTTCACTTATCTTCAACTTCTCAAGAAAGAGAGAAGAGAAATTTTCTTTTTATGTTTAATTTTCTCCTTGAAACTTACAACTTTTGCTTCCTTTATTCTTTTTCATTCTATCACCATGCAGAAAAACTGCGTGAATTAGCATGGAGTGGTGTCCCACCTTACTTGCGTCCTACTGTATGGAGGCTTCTGTTGGTACGTCTGGTTTCCAATTTGGGTTTTTTACTTTAGAAAGATTTTTGTAATGGAATTTATTATATGCAAATATCTGTTGTTGAACTTGTACTGCATCTTTCTATTTGGAGGATCCCGCACAAAGGAACTGATAGGGGCAGTGCTTCCCTAGTTTGAACATAGTACAAAAAGAATTATATTCAAAGTGCGGTGTGCATGTTCAATATCATTTTCATTCTGCTTGACAAGTAAGTTTATACTACAAATGGCTTATGAAGGGAGTGAAAACCTAACTGACCTAACACCTCTTAAGAGAAAATTGCATCATTAAAATAATTAATGGAATTCCTGTGTTCAAATCCATGAAAGCAGTATTGACGATGTATCAGGGGATTATCATGATTTATTATATCATTTAATATTCTCTGCTTTAAGAATAGCAATATACGAGGTAGAGGCATAGCAGCTTTATATATTGGCTTTTTGCTTGCAGTTTTGATTAGGATTAGTCAACTCTTTCTAGGAGCTTTACTAAAACAAGGTTTGGTGTAAATGTTACCATCCTTAGAAACTTTTGAATTCTGAAGCTGCATATATTCAGGAGCTCTGATTCTTTTTTCTTTTTCTTTTTTTTTCCTTGAGTAGCTGTTGTTTGGAAAATTGGTTCCATGATATTTCTATCTTGAGGTTTCAGATTTTGATTACAGTATTTATCGGGCTGAGTTTTAGATTTGTTTTAAACAAGATTTTCTTTTTGGCATTTTGAGTTTTAAACTGAACTGACAACAGGGATATGCACCCTCTAATTCAGATAGAAGGGAGGGAGTTCTGAAAAGAAAGCGCCTGGAGTATCTCGATTGTGTTGCACAGTATTATGATATTCCTGACATAGAGCGGACAGATGAAGAGATCAGCATGCTCCGTCAGGTATGATATGCCCCAACCAGCTGTTTGTTTTTCCCATGTGTCTACTTCACAGTATTATGCAGCCACATAATGATTGCTTCGCTTGTGCTGGTTAGATTGCTGTTGATTGTCCTAGAACTGTTCCCGATGTCTCTTTCTTTCAACAAGTAGAAGTTCGAAAGTCGTTGGAGCGAATACTTTACACCTGGTTAGATACTTTTCCTCACCTTATTTTTTCCTTAATTATGTTGCTCCTTTTGATGGAAAAGAGATTGGTTCATGAGCCTCTCACTGTGAGAAATGATAAACTTCTTTGCATGTTGGGTT